CTTTTCCTAATACCAGGGAAAGGATCAACAATTGATTATACACAAAGGTTTCTGGCTGAGATCGATAGGATCTCAGATGCAATGCGGTCGTAGAGAGCCTGAATTAGTGCAACTTTTAGGCAGAGAGTTTGGATTAAAATGTAAAATGAAAATGAAAAATCCTAGAGGACAAGGAGTCACAAAGAAGCAAGCCCTTCCTGTGAACCATCGCCAGGCACAGGCCACCAGGGGGACAGCCAGACCCCAGACTTTTCCAATGAGTCAGCACCATTCTCAGACTGTGAAGGAAGAGAACAAGAAGTCGCCAAGAAGCAAGCCCTCCCTGTAAGTCAGCCCCATGTGTAGGCCACTGTGGGGACAGCCAGGCTCCAGCCCCTTCTGGCTCATGGGCTGGGAGACAGGAAGAGCCAAATCCTGCCCCAGAACCCCCATAAGTGACCAACTGATCTGGGGTAACACAAACTACAATGACAGGTGATTGAGGTGAGATGCAATTTGATGCTTGTGGTGCTTGGTGTTTCACAGTCTTTGCAGTTCTGGGGCTGCTGGTCTGATCAACTATTCAGAGGATAACAGTACAGAGTGTGGCATCTATGGGGGATCTCCTTCTGAGAGTGGTGGCATTGGTAATTTCCTGTTGTCTTGTTTGGAAGTCCAATATAATTATTATTTTGTTGGATTGGGTTTTATTCTGTTTTGTTGTTTGAATTTTTGTGTCCAATGGTATAGGCAGTCATTTTGAGAATGGCAAGGTATATTAAGGTAGCCATTTTGTATTCACTATTGCCTTGTTTTGAAATCCTTTATTGCATTCATTGTTTTGTTTCTGTTGGTTCTATTGGTTCCATTCTGTTCTGTTTTGTTTGACTTTTACTATGTCTGAAGGTAGGGGCAGCAATTTTGAAGACAGCAAGAGGCATTATGAGAATATAATTATTGCTGATTTCTGGTTATTTTGAAGTCTTGTGTCACACTGGGTTTTTTTATTGATTTATTATGTTTTATTTTGCTTCATTTTATTCTCTTTAAAATAAAAAATAAGCAAAAAAGGAAAAATGCAAAATTAAAACTTCAACCTATTAAAGTGAAATATTAACACTTCAATGCAAGATTGACACTTCTAAGTATGCATCATGCAATTATGGATTAAATATGAAACAAAGTCTATGGAACACAGTTTTGTAGTATAAAATGTTGATGAAAAGCCTAAAAATCTCTTAATATGTGAAAACTGAAAATAACTAAAATCCATTAGCACAATAGAGGTCTCCCTATGGGAATGATATGCCAGTTCTTAACACTGGTTAAATAAGAACTTACAAAGCAAAATACATTTAGGTTGGCTTGGTACCATTAAAATACATAAATATGTATATCTTTTTAATTCTGTAGCATTAAACTGTTACCTCAAGAAAAATTGCCACAGATTGAAAGATTAATAAGAGGGTAAAGAAGAAAGCATATTTTTAAAATTACACTCTTTTGTTTCATTAGAAATGTATGCTATTTGGAGATTAGTGGAGGTGAAATAATTTTTCTAATATACTTAAATTTTAAGCAAATTCTTATTCCAGTCCTACAGTTGCTTAAATGAATCCTGTTTTGCTTTCAAAATAGAAATTCAGAACCAATTAAAATATTACATCCATTGTCAAAAGAAATTAAATGCACTCTAAATTCAGAGAACATAATAAATAGCATCCAAAAATATAAAGGTAGGAATTAGAAGGAAGGGCTTTTGTACAACAGAGAGAGAAAGAACAATATGGTCTCCTTCCAGAATACTAAACATAACCTACAGTAGCAGAAAATTAATGAACAGGTGAAATCCATCTAGGATGAAAAAGAACAATATAAAATGATCAGTTTGTGGGTTTTATTGGTCATCTTTTTAATGAGAAATGTAGCTTAATGATTGCAGTCAGGTATTCCCTTCCAGGTTTTTCTTGAGATTGCATAAATATTTTCAAAGGTATTTTACTGGAAGATAAAATTCTTAGTCACCTTTGGAGAACTGTGAAATCTTAGCATTTCTAGTAAGTTGACATACAAATCGTAGTTCAAGCAACTTTCCTTCCTTAATTTGAAAACCTCAGCTAAGCATGTGAAAAGGATGGAATATTCATGAAGCTTACAATTCAACTGACTGCTAATCAAAAAATTACTGGGTTGCAAAAGATTTAGTATTTTTGAGTTTATGACCTGGAGGCAAATACAGCAGATCAAAAACAATGCAGTGAAACTAACATAGCAAAGCTACTTTGAGCAAACTGTAACAAAACTCATTCATTTTTGCTGAATAAATGAAATAAATATTGGTAATAATAAATTTAATTAAAATACATTTAAATGTATTTGAAGGGTGAATGAAACCTGTTTGAAGCCCTAAATTAGAAACACATTGCACATTTTTTCCTTTACCTTTTAGGAAATCAAATTAGACTTTAATAGGAGAAATGTTTTCAGACACTGTAACTATGTGCTTCCAGTTTATTGAATAAGGATGATGACTATGTGATATTCTGTTTTTCTAGTTTTTGAATATAAAGTAGTTGTAATATTGTTTTGAGAACACTAGAGAAGAAACTTAATATAAAGTTGTATTTGTCCATCCAGCCTGTAGTTGTGAAAGAAAGGACAGGGTGAAAGCCACCCTGCATTACTCTAAAAAGTCTCTCTGAGAACAGAAGTGCCTGTGACATCCAGCCCCACAGGAGCTGAGAGATGCAGACTCTGTCCTGTGCGTGCTGCTGTGCCCTGTGGTATAGGGCAGCTCAGAATCACCCGTAAGGACTGCAAGGAGAGAAGGCATAACCCCCAAACCCACCGTTTCGCATCCTGGACTTAGTTGGAAACACACTGCCAATAACTCTTCAACCACATAGAAAATGTCAAATTCATCCCATGCAGCTGTAGGAAGAGACATCACTCTGGGCAAAGAGGAGACTGCACACTGTGCTAGAAGGAGACAGGCGCAGTGCAGAGGGGAGGCTGGGAGCCGTGCAGAGGGGAGGCTGGGAGCCGTGCAGAGTTTAAATTGCACTGAATGAACATTTTTTCCCAGAGGACTTTTCCCAAACTGGCCAGTTCTCCTCTGTGAGGATTCAGTTTCAAAATCACCTTTTCGTGCCTACACCATTGTTTTCAAGGGTTAGTCCTATTCTATCTTTCAGCAGATTTAGTGCCTCTGCTTTGTGTTTAGATCTTTGATGCTTTTCGTTCTAGTGTAGTGCACGGTGGAGACTTCCGCTGACCACACCGGCCACAGCGGTCCTCCTTGCCCCTTCGCTGTTCCGCCCTCACGCTCCGTCAGAAACACCCTGTATATTTCCTTTACAGCATGTGTCATTACCAAGAAATATTTCCTTTATTCCTTTATTGATTTAGTGTTTACTTCTCCTTAACAAAATGTAACATTTCTTTGTTTTGTTTTGTTTCGCTTTGTTTTTCAGTACTCAGGAGTGAATCTGAGGCTTTCACACAGTTTATATCCTCAGTCAGTTCTTTATTTATGTATTTATTTAACCTTGATGCATGTTCTCTTTAAGTCACTGATTTGCCAAGGCTGGGCACAAACTTGCTATGCTTTAGTCTCAGCCTTCCAGAGTGCTGGAATTACACCATGTTTGACTGGAATAAAAAAAAACTTCTGAGAGAGGAAACAGCCATGGAGAAAGAACCCCTGACATTCATGTGACAAATATTCATAAATGAGTCAGCACCTGAATGTGGAATCGCAGGCAAGGAGAAAGGGTCCTTACCCACAGAAGTGTATAGTGCAGAAGATAAAGTGGGTGCAAAATAAAGAAGGTCACAAGCAAAGGTAGATTTATGCTTGCAGTGAGTGGCAGAAAGAAGAGAGAGAGGAGTGTTAGAACTAATGATGAAACTCACTGAGTCGAGGAGTCAGCAGAAGCTTTCTGGAATGAAATACTTTTGAGCAAAGATTTAAGGTAAAGACATTATTTAAGTCAAGCTTCTCAACTGAGGGAACGGCATGGAGAAAGACACTGTGGCAACAGGGAAGATGACAAAGAGGGACTGGAAATCAAAAACCTATAAAGCTGGACCTAAGATGTTAGGAGCATACGCTGGAGATGGATGAGACCATGCTGGGTTTGTGCCACTACAGTGAGCTTTTACTAAGAGAGGGGCTTTACTCTGAGGGTGAAAGGAGCCACTGACTCTGTGTGTGTGTGTGTGTGTGTGTGCGCGCGCGTGCACCCGTGCGCGTGTGTGGTCGTGCATACCTGACTTATGGACAGGAGAACATTATCATATTTATGTTTTGTGGAGGTGATCCCAGATATGCTGAACAGGAAGACTGAAGAAAGTTAACAGTGGCATCAATGGACCACAGAGGTTGTCACCAAAGTACCCCAGAGGTGAAATGATGGAAGTTTGAATTTAGGGCATGCCTTTAGGATAAGAAATAAATAGATTGATACTAAAACCTTTTAAGGACTAAAATTGAAAAGAATCGATGATGGATAAGATACGAAGGAAGATACTGAGGATAAATTGCTGATTACTTGAGCTGATGTAAGTGTTCCCATCCTCTGAGAGAAGACACTGCAAGGAATCATTGGGAGGTGTTTAGGTCACTGACTTTTTATCTAACAGATTAAATTAGAGAATTTCATGTTGGTTTGTATTTATCCAGACTATATTTCTTGAATTCTATGAGTTAGAGATGCATATTCTATTCTATTCTATTCTATTCTATTCTATTCTATTCTATTCATTTAGACTCAAAAAGATTTTTGCTATTATCATTCTTTAACAGCAAAACAGAATTCTGCATTTTTAAATGCTCACTTAAATTTGAAATTATGTATAAAGCGTCAAACAGACCTAAATTCTGACCACATAAGTTTCACTCTAGTGAGAAGTAACTGGTTATCTGCTTGCAATTTCATTGTCAAGGACACAACTTGGAACTTTCTATCTAATCTACCTATGAAAAATAGTGGAAGCATCAAGTATCTTTTCACATCTCCTAAGCAAAAATTGTCAAATTTTATTCACTTAATACTGATACCCAAGCCCAGTCACACGGCATCTCAGTGTCACATTAGAATGATCCAAGACTCTTCAGGCATTTGGACTTACAACATTTTTCTAACATATTTGCCATCACTAGATTATCTACCTAATAGGCATCAAAACCAGGCAGCAGAAATTCTGACTAAAATAATTCTTACACTGACAACTATCTGTAACATATTTTATTGATAAAGATAAGTTGCTTTAAATTATTTTATCTTTTTATTCTGATTGTTGTGATGTATACTCATTAAATTCATCCTGGGAATTTGATACAAGCATGTATCACGTTGGCATCACCTTTTTCTCCGCTCCACTCCTCCTTCCTCGGATCTCCTTCCCATTTTCGTGAAGTGTAACACCTGTGTCCTTCCATAGCTTTACATTTTTCAGTTTAAATTATTTACTTCTATTAAATTATTTCAATATTACGTTACTTCTATTAAAGAAACCACGTCATATTTATCTTTCTGTATTTTATTTCACTTAATATTATGGTCTCAAGATCCATTTTCCTACAAATGACTCAAATGTGTCTTGGTTATGGCTGAGTAATACCCATGTATACTTTTTTCTTTGATTATTCATCGATGGATTATAGCTTGCTTCTCTAATTTATCTATTGTGAACTGTGTTGTTGTAAATATGGATATGTATCACTATAATTTGGTAATTTTAACTGTTTGAAGAAGATAATCAGAAAAATAGGTGACCCAAGTGGAATTTCTGTTTTCTGTGTTTTAGAGAATCACCGTAGTGATTTCCACAGCGATTTTAATGTTTTGCATGCCCACCAACAATATAGACATGTTCCTTTTACCGCAAACTTCACCAGCATTTATTTTGATTTTTGCCCTTGATGATGGCCAGTTTTACTTGGAAAGACAGACATATTTTGTAAACACAGCACCAATATATGTTCTAATTTTTAAAAGAAATTACTCAGAAATAGTAAGAAGACATTTTTCTCTTTTTCTTTCTAATTCTATAGAAACTGTTGGGTAGCACACAAAAATTCTTTCAGATTTTTAAATCATTTTGTGTGTTCATTTTAATAATATTTTCCAGAAAGATTATACTTTGCAAGGTAGTCATTCTCACTGTGTACGTGTGTGTGTGTGTGTGTGTGTGTGTGTGTACACATAACCACTCTAAAAATAGTTCACAACTGTGGTCATGTTCTGTTTGACTTTGAAGTCTTCGGTAAACTTCAACTTCTTTAATAACAAATTTCAGAAACAATAACATTTTTCTAAGTTAAAAGCTGTATTTTTAACATTTCAAATGTAAAACACTTTACTAAACATTATTTTTCTAAGTAAACAAAGTAAAGACCAAGAATTTCTTTGTTTGTTTTGGGTTTTTTGTTTATTTTGGGGGTTTTTTGTGTGGTTTTGTTTGTTTGTTTGTTTGTTTGTTTGTTTTTGGTTGGTTGGTTGGTTGGTTGGTTGGTTGGTTGACTGGGATTTTTTTGTACCTGGAATTGAACTCAGGACCTCATGCTTTCCAGGCAGGCCCTGAGCTATTCCCCAGCTCTAGAGACCAAGTTCTTATTTTGATAAAATCATCAAATGATCTGTTCACATATTGAACAAGTGAGGAAAAGCGGAATTTTTCCATAATAGAAATGCAAAAATAGACCTCCCGCAATTTACCATTGTGTTTCACTGTTTTCCCTCTCACTGTGATCAGTCTCTATTGTGACTTAATTTTAGACTAAAACCAAGTGAAATACACATACCACATATTTCATTGCTTCTATAAATTAATAAAAAGTATATATACAAGCGGGACACCAGGAAAGCCATAATTTGTAAAAGATATGGGACTGGGGTGGCGCATTTATGCCACGCAGCCACAGTGGGCTGTTGGCATCTTTAAAAGGTTTACCCTCGCTTGATAGAGGAGCAGGAAGTATCCAAGTTCTTAACAGATTGTTAAGAGATAGAGACAAAGTCGAAAATAATACCTGTTTCCCATTTGGAAAGAGCAGATGATCATCATTAATGTGGAGAGAGAGGAGACCAACGCTGGCCCTTTGGTCCTGATTCTATAACTAGTAAATAATCACGTGTGTGCTAGTGGATGTTTAGCAAAATATTCGCCCATGTCTTCAGTAACGTCTGCCTCTGAGTGAATTCAGCTTGCCTGATATCTAAGCCTCACATCTTGCACTGAAAAGCACTTCAAATAAAACTCCTTTACTTTAATGTACCCAGTTTTGAAAAAAATAGAGAATGTTCTATCAAATTTAGGGAACATGTATATTCAGAAAATTCACTTCAGTATTTATTTTTATAGTAATATTCATTGTTTTGTGTTTATCTACAATAACTGTCAGTTTAGAAAATATGAAAATACAAAATAAAGAAGAAAATTGTAATTATTCATTATCTCATCTCTAGAAACAACCAACATTATTACCCTTTGTGTGTATGTCCTTATCTATTTCTATCCATTTCTAATATTTTAATGCCACTAAGATCATACCATATATTTAGGTTATTGTGCTTTTTCTTTAACCATAGTATCACCGTAATTTTACATGCTTTTATAAATCATGAATCTTGAATTCTATACAATTTGGCCTATAGTAGTGTAATTAAAAAGTAATGCTTTTAGAGGCTGGGGATTTAGCTCAGGGGCATAAGCGCCTGCCTGGCAAGTGCGAGGTTGTGAGTTCGATCCCTGGTACTGATAAAAAATAAATAAATAAATAAATAAAATAAAAAAGTAATGCTTTTAAGAATATTTTGCTATCACAAGAGGCATTATGTCGCTTTTCTATTTTCTTGTTTTTGAAGTCCAGTATCACTGCTTTGGTTTGCTTTATTCTATTTTATTTTCCTTGGTTGTATTTTCTTAAAAGTAAAATTTTAAAAAGAATATGTTGCTACTTCCATCCGTTATGATCAGAAATACAACTGTGCAACTCTTTTCTACACTTTAGAATCCAGTATCCTAAACTATTATGTGGAACACAGATGCTTCAACTCTAAGACACTGTAAATCATTCAACAGACATAGAAAGAGTCCAACTTAATTTCTGGATAAAAATAGTACAAATAGTGAAAAATCTCTTGTTATTCTAAAAATACACTTGTCTCTAAAAGCGCACTTTCCAGTCTCCATGTAGTTGATGCCACCTCCAGTGACCCTGTTAGCACTGAGGAAAATGTACCAACTTCTGCTGTCTTGGTGGCTTTTTGACACAGTCTCATAGGTGAGATCTAAGCCAGAAGAGTCCTCTTGATAGCGGCCAAACTGAGGGAAGGGCTGACCTCTACAGCTCCAAAGCAGGGAGAAATCTTCATTTCAAAATCAGGTGTGAGTGCTGGATAAGACAGTCAAAATTACCACATTGTTCATAATGTGCCAAAGAGAGCAGGGTGAAATGCTTGCCTGTAATTTTTATTGTCTCTATAGCAAAAATAAAGTGGGAAAATGAAATGTTTAAATCTGTAAACAAAAAAGAAATTTAAAACCCCTCTAAACAATTAGCCTTACACTAAATTTAAAAATTATTTAAAATATTTGTTCTATTTCAAAGTCATTTTATTTGGAAAATTCATCAAAACTACTATATTTTGATTCAGATCCAGAACTATTATTATATATTCTTTTGACTTAACTTAATAATGAGCTAATACAGTTTCCAAAACACACAGAAAAGAGGGTTAAAAAAATAGAATAGCAAGTATGCTGTTGAGAGTGTTAAGAGTTCAAAAGCAAACAGCTGCTCACAAGGCCGCGGGTTCCACAGTCTGAGAACTAGCCAGGCCCTGGAGCAGATAGCCCAGCAAGAGCTCCCAGCCAGGCCACTCAGCAAGGGGGCTGTTCTAGGTCAAAGGCAACGCAGTTACCCTAATCCTGAAGCTACTGTGAAGACCCGCATAGACGCCAGCCTTATGGTGCTGCTTCAGCCTCCAAACAGTGATACAAACTGGCTAAAACTTACCAGTCTTCCCTTGGGAACTAGGGTGGGAGTAGCGGGTGACTGTTCCAATGGGGGAGCAGCTGTTTGCTCCATTCCCAGCCCTTAGGTGCCCCTCACCACAAAGCCTCACTGCGTGGCTCCCTGCTTGGTTCATGGAAGTTATAGCAAGCCGTGGTTCAGTCTCAAGAAAGGCAGTCATCAGAAAAGCTACAACTCACCCACTGGCAGACAGATCTTTGCCTCCCACATTTGAAAGCACAGTTTCAGAACAGAAAAAGGATTTAAACCACCAGTTGGATTCTGCCACTTCCGGTAACCCTATCAAAGAACATTCATATTAAACCCCTTATGGAAACAAACTGAAGATTAAAAAACACACGGAAATAAGAAAGAAGGCATTAAGACACGAACTAAGCACCTTGCAGAGGTTTCTCATCGTCTCTGATGTCAGCAGAATCAGGACCAGTCAGTGAATTGACTGAAGAAATGCTGGGTTCTGTGGGGAACAGATACGAACAGAACGAGTAAAAGAAAAAGCAGTTGCATAATTTGAAATAACTTATTCTTGGCTTATGAATTTATTAAGTGAAAAACTGATCTCAATTTTAATGAACAAAAAGACTTCCCTAGTAAGAAATATTGCATTTTCTGCTATTTAAGTATATTCATACCATGGTAAATAACTCTCTCTTCTCTATTTCTCAAAAGATATAGAATTTAAGATACATTATAAATATTGTTAAATTCAACATGTCAAGAAGTACAAAATATAAATTTAAAAAATGTACACAATCAAAAATGCATTGCTGTGTTAGAACATTACATATACATGTCAGTGTTCTAAAAGTTACCAAGTTTAGACATTAAGACATTGTTTTAAAAGAATATTTTTGTCATACTTGGCTTACATATTGTACCAATAAGTCATGATCAGAATATGACTTCTGTTGATAAAATAACAAGGAAATAGTAATAATATAACCTTTTGTACAAAAAGAATAAGTTCATAAATATTTTAATCATTATTCACAAGTAATTCTTGAAATAATTTTTACAGGTTTTTGGCATATATGCTTTTTAAGAAATATTAATTTGGTACTAAAATGCTCACTTAATTTTATAAAATTTCTTAATCTTTAAGAAGTTACACTGTTCTCTTCATCTATGAAGATCTACAAATAATAGATTAATAACAGTAAAATTGGTCAGGCAGCTGCTAACGTATTATTGGCAGTAGAAAGTGGAAACTGTAAAATCTTTGAATCAAAGTTATGCTACTCCGTTTTCTAAAGAACTGAATGATATTTTATTCATATAAAATTTTCAGGTTTTAAAATACCCATTGAGATACAAAATAAATGAAACTAAAATATAATTGTGAAAGAAAAGTTAATATGGCTAAAGACCGTCTATGAGCTAAGATAGCACTGATTCTGGAGGTTTCTGTCTTTGACCTTTGTTGCTTCTGTGTCACCAACGGCTGTCAAGAATTCTCTCTCAGATTCTGCACATGACACCTGAGTCATCACTGCCTTACACACCTCCCCTCACACCACATTCTCTAGGGCATTCTGTGGTGGCAATATAACTTACTTCGATAATACTGATTCTTGGCCAGAAGACAGCTAATGGAAGGAACAGATGCCATGGGTTTGGAGAGACAGCTGGGGGAGCCTGAGAAGCAAGCTGAGGAACAGCGATCAGAAAAGAAACATTCCTATTAGTAGCACGGATTTTCCTTTTTCCTTTTCTGTGGGAATTGTTTTTGTAAGGCAGTATCATGTGATGTTTAATAAATATCTGATCATAGGAATTTAAGCATTTATCCCAAACTGCAAATATAAAGCAATAAAAAAAATAATGTAGTAACCCTAACCCCAGTACTTTAAAGGTTCATGCAGAAAGATCACCAAGTTTGAATTCAGCAATGTAGCAAATTCTGGCCTCAAATAAAGAAAAATAATATAAAAATGACTGGAGAGGTAGCTTGGTGCTGAAGCCCTGAGTTCAGTTTGCATGCTGGAAAAAAGAGCGTAGTCAAAGAATACATTTACTTGAGGGAAGAAAAAATAAAAAGTAAATATTCAACTGAAAACAGTGCCCACACGACTTATTGCATCTAAAACAAACCTAAAACTAAAATTAAAAAAAAAAAATCACAGACAGGATGAAATCACTCACCTGTTTTCATCTATGTGTGCTTTGAAAACAAACGTGACTTTGAAAGGTCTTCAGAAAATGCGCGCATCAGAAAAACAAATTCTTAGTGATCTGAAAGAGGCTGCAACAGCCAGACGTCGGGAACCAGCCTCGGTAATGTGTGATCTGCAACCCTGCAGACACTTTTTATGAGAGCCACGTCGGTTGGAGCCTGCACAGTGAGCAGTGTGAGCTCAGGTGGCACCCAGCCAACAAAGGTTGTGAATGAACAGCATTCTCTGCTCCCCTGCCCTTCAACTGCCTCCTCTGTCCTTGCAGTGTGCCAGCATGCCAATGCAGACTGCAGTCAACAGGACACTTAGGCTCCGACCCAGTCTGCAATCATTCTTATCAATGTCACAGTTTAGAACTCACTACTGGTTACCCGGAAGGAACTGACACTCGGGTATCTCTTCCCCCTTAGATAAAACATACACTCTACCAAAAGCACCAGGCTGGGCATAACTGGGAATGTCACAGTTTAGCAGGGACATTGAACATAACCACAGCTGCAATGATACCAGGCAAAGTCCAACAGTGATAGAAGAACAACAAAGAATTCTGGAGACTTACAAACTTTCTGGGAAATGAACACCTACAGCAGGATGTAGTGGTAAGACAAAGAGAGCTAGGTATTGCACCAAGATTGACAAAACATAGATGAATTCAAGGATAAGATTCATGGCATTGTATAAACATCATTTATTGATGCAAAAACAATTCTAATTTTAGTGATATAGGTTGGTTTGGCAGTTGATAGACTCATTTGAGTTATCAAATTTTATTTTCATTTTACACTGAAGGGTGGTCGTTCCAATTGCTGTTTCAAATTATTTGTGGATGTGTCTTTTACTTGTGTATTCTTAATTCGATTTTACTATAAAATTATTTATATGGTTAGGTTTTCAAATGTATTCAAAACAATTATGATAATTCATCATTGTGTTCTCTTTAAAAATCAACTCCAAGCACAGAAAAAAGATGATGCATGATCTCACATGTGGAGCAAAAAGTTGAATACTGGGCCAGGGATTTAGCTCAGCAGTGTAAGTACCTGTCAGGCAAGCATGAGGTTGTCAGCGCAATCACTGGTACCCCCCCCCAAAAAAAAGTTTAATATTAAAAAGACATTGTAAAGCAATGATTACCAGAGATGGAGCATAGGCAAAACTGAGTACGTTGGTCAAAGGGTTAAAAGTTGTAGCTATGTAAAGTAAGTAAGTCTAGAGATGTAAAAACAGCATGAAAATTACCACTAATACTATATTCTATATGGCACATTTGCCAACAGAATAGAATTGGGGAGTCCTTGTAATGAAATTAAACTCAATTGAATTATACATTCATGTTAAATAATGAATATATTAAGCTGTTTGACTGTAGTAATCATTTCACTATGTGGAGATAGATTTTCGAAATCATGTTACATATTCTAAATATATATAATAAAAATAAATGCTGCTTGGGCATGATGGTGCATGCCTGTAAGCCCAGAATTCAGGAGGCTGAAATAGGAGGATCACTGTGAGGTCAAGGCCAACCTGTACTGCATAGTGAAACCATATTTCAAAAAGATACAAATAAATAAACAAATAAAAATATGGGCCTACTCCACCCGGCTATAGTTCTCTGTGTTGCCTCTTCCATTTTTTCTTAATTATTTATGCTATTAATTTCTCTTTTAAATTAATTTTTCAAATAAATATTTTTTTCTTTTGGTTTTATACTTCATTATTTTCTGTCTGCCTTTTGTTTATCTTCCTTATACTCATTTTAGCATTTTAGGATTATTCTTATTACTGATATTCTTATTACTTATATCATCCAAAATATACTGTAATTTTTATTATGATACTATTAATGCTTGAATTATTAAAAATGTTTTCCGTTTTCCAAATAAGAGAGATTTTAATGCCATCTTTTAGTAGATGACTTCTAAATCCATTGAATTGTTATGAGAATGTCTGACTTTTATTTAATCTTTGAAATAAATTTTGGAACTGACTTTCTGTACATACAGAAATAATAAATATTCTTTATTTGCTGAATGTTATTACTTTATGTATCCATTCAATTATACTAATTTTGTTAAACAACCCATACACTTGTTAATCCATAACTTCTTGGTATATCTGTTTCTGATATGAGTACATCACCTAATTCTATTTTGTTTGATGTAGTATGGTGCTTTATGGTTTATGCTTGGACATCCCCACAAAGCCTCATGCTGTCACAGAAGCAACTGAATGTAACATTTCTGATTGGCTCGTTGTCTAGCACTGGAATTGGCAGTGTGAGTGCTGCACCCGCCCAGCAGTGGCTAGCTGGCATACTATATAATTTGTCCCTTGTGCCCTTTTTGCTCTCATCACTTGCAGCTACCATGAACAGCAGCCTCTTAGTCACGCCACTCTGCCTTGGAACCAGCTGAGTATGGACTGAAAACTCCAAAAACTATAAGCTAAATAAACCTTTTCTTCCTTCATTTGGGGTGTCAGGTATTTTGTTTCAGCAATGAGAAAAAAGTAACCAAGACAGATGTTTTACGATAAATGCATATAAAAATCATGATTAGAATATCCTCCAAATGAAGGTTTGCTTTTGTCTTAGTTTATCAGCACCAATGTTTTATTTTAGTACTGTTCACTTAGCTTTGTCTACTTAATAACAAACTTTTTCCTTCCTAATCACAAGGTTTATCTTTTGCATCACTTCATTTTCAATTTAATGGAGTTGATCGTATTTTTGAATTAATTTTTGTCACCATAATCTGTGGTTTCCATATAATCACACTTTTCTTTACTTCTTTGTATATTTTAATCTTGCTATTTTAATCTGTATTGTGTAAGCATTTACGTTCTCCCTGAGAAGAAATAAATATTTTCTTTTTAAACTTGGAGTGGATATTCTTATTTTATATCCCCAAACATTCAGCTATGATTTTGCCCAACCAGGTATATTTTCTCTAAGTATATTTTTAATCAGTCTTTTATATTCCACCAAAGATATCATCTTTGCAATTTGAAAATTTCTCAACTGTTTCTTGTTTATCTGTTGCCTTTTTCTTTGTTAATTAGTTATATACATTGAATTCCTCCTAAAGAGACATGTACACACACAACAGTCAATGACATGAAATTAACATGGAGTAAAAACCTTCTACAAACTGTGAGCTAAATAAATCTTTCCTCCCTTAATTTTGGGTGCCCAGTATTTTGTCTCAGCAAGAAAAGGAACTAAGAAAACTCATAATAAAAGAACTTAATCTACCATAACCTTTTTCACAATTGTAATTTCTTGACTGTCATGCTTAGCATTAGATTTCTTCAGAGGTTTGGATTTTGGGTGTACCAGCTCATGCTTTCTGAGCTATCATCGTATCTCATTTTTAGATATGGTTGTATTGTTCTCCCCTTCTCTGCCACTTTCTGCCCAAGCACTTGGCACTCCATCTGATGCTAGCATGCCTTACAAGCAGGCTCTCACCAGATCCTAGCTTTTGAAATTTTGAAAAATAATATTACTTACATTTTAATGAGACAGTTATTTCATCCATTAGATTGTGAACTATGCAAGGGCAGAGAATAGCCTATCTTCTCCATTAATAGCATCCAGAATAAAACGACATATAAAGTCATTCATTTCCTAATATTCGTATAAAACATGTTCCTCTATGCATGTTAACAAAGATTCCATTCTTGGATAATAATTTAATGCAGCATAACAGGGCTCAGATTTCCACACTATCACTGACATAATTAGATTATATTTCCCTGATTGTTGATTCATGGTGGTTGCTTTTTTTCTTGAATACAATGCAATCACATTTTCATTGAGTTGTTGCCAGAGCGTTACTTGTGCTCATTTCCCTTTGATGATAACAAGAAGAGAGTGACTCTGAGCACATGTTGGAAAACCAGCAGGACAGATGGAGCCTACGTGCACATATTTCTATTCAGACAAGTTACAAGATGCCCCCTAATGATGTTATAGCAAGTAGAGTTAAAATAGGGTTAAAAAGGAGTAAGCACTAATTAAAGATCAGTGCAATCTCTCTGAAAAATGCCGTATTCATCACACATAAGATATAATTACTCTTTCTAACCTTATTGGCATTGGGTACAGTAATTAACAGATATCAGATTGCTGTTTTCCAGAGCATGAAAACCCATAGCATGAATTCCAGTTAAGCTTGTAGATAATTCATCACTACCAATACTATCAAGCATAGCTGGTCAAGTGTGCAACATGAGATCAATATCTGACTGCCCTGGAAATCTTAAACTGTCTGGATCTTATTCCATCCAGGTATTATAAAGCATCTGAGTGTGCCCACAAGATGTCAGGGATTGTAAATGTATTATAATATGGAAATACAATACATGTGGACAAATAAATGTACCATATTAAGCACTGATCACTCCTAAAAACTAATGCTGAAAGTGAATGTGTGTAGCAGATGTTCAAAACAGGTGTAACAATCTCCCTTGGTACACTGTTTCATGAAAATTACCAACACTCAGTCACTAAATATTTCTGAACATTTGCAAGTAATCTGTAAAGTATGAACAATAGTATCTAAATGTATTTGGAATCCACTCCAAATATGGATATGTATAATTGTATACAATATGTATAATTTAATTATTTGTTTAAATTTTGTACTTCTCTGAGTTATATGCAAGTGTTTCTCAAACTTTAATTGGGTTAGATCTTGATAAATCCATCATACAATAAAATATGTCAAAATGGACTTGATGCATCCAATCTTCTAAACGTTCTAGCTTAGCAATGCAACACAGTGTAAGGTATCAATTTCTAGGCTTTTGTGTCATGTGGCTGGCCAAGAGCTGCAATTCATTGCTTTTGTCCATCATTTCAAAGGAATATTGTCTATTTTCACTTAGCAAATCAATAGCCTGGGAAGAAGTGCAAATTCAAAGTATGGAATTCTACTTCAGGCCTGCCACTTTTCACATAATATTGAAAACATTCACATAATATTGAAAACATAACATAATATTGAAAAATCATTAAATTAAACCATTTAAGAATCGTTGTAGTCTATCAATCAATTGTCATCATTACATCTACAGCAAGGAAATAAATTATTGGGAGGGTATTTGTCCACAGGATCAGAAACAAAGAGGTTTGCTCTGATAAACAAGATTCTCAAAAAATATTCTAGGAGAGACATGGTATCTTCTGGAAAATTCATACCCTGATTTTGGACATGGGAAAAGGTAACACAAGTCAGACTAGTCATGGCATAAGGAGCTACTATCACCACAACCACACTCCCAAGC